TCTTTCAAATGTAGTGAAGTTAAAGTCATAAGTTTCCAGAAAAAATAATACTCAAGTAAAGTACAGATACTCAAAAAGTGTTCTTAAGTACAATACTCAAGTAAATGTACTTAGTTACTGTCCGCCTCTAGGCGGTTATCTTCAGCCTCTGTGGAATGTGATGTTGAACCTTCCTGCGTGACAAACACAATCCGGTCACGCATGTGCACACACTCTCACTCCTCATGTATGCTTACAACCTGCATCTGCCCACACACACGCTGAAGCATCAACAGCTGAGCCGGAGCCAGAGGAGAGGAGGCAGCTCAGTCAGAGCACATTTGACTCAAACGCAGCTCACTGCAGCACATGTGCAGGAGGGAATTAATAGGACAGGTGGGCCGACATATTCCACTATACCTGACTATAATCAGACAGCAGATATTGCATGATCAAAACATTCAAGACAAGTTTAAGATACTTAAGGGTTTAAAGGTGAACAGGATGTATAAATGAATACAGTGACACTTACATATCTCAGCACACACCATATGACATCGTGTTGCAGTTATGACATTACATTTGCAGTGTGATAAAGAGATTAGGTTTTTAATATTGAGTTTTCAAAAGTGGACTTCTTTTTAAAACGATAACTAAACAGGTGATGAGGTCATGTGACAACAACATAGCACATTATTATCGTTATGAAAAATGTGTATAATGCCTACTGGTTCACATACTTAAAAAAAAAAAAAAAAAAAAAAAAAAAAAAAAAAAAAAAAAGTAAAATAACAAAAGTGTATACTGCACTGTATTCAATAAAAAATAAGCCAGAATTCAATTCTGAACACAGCCAAAGTTTTAAACCCACCACAGTCTCACATTTTTACATATTCTTCAGGAATTTGACATATTAAGTTGTCTCTGCACAGAATACAGAATTTTAACATTAAAAATAAATTAAAAATCTCAGTTCACCCTTGAGAGCCTCATACTCTATGAGAAGGAAGTTCCTCTTAAGGTATTCAAAGTATGATTTCAATTCAGAAAGCAAAACAAACTTCAAACATCAGGAGGCGTCATTTTCTTCCAGTTGAAATATATATTCTGTATGGTACATCACATACAAGGTTTTCTGTGATTCGGATTGGTAAGATTAGTAAGTAATGACCATCAGAGCTCTGAGAAGAGAGAATGGGTAAATAGTGTGTCTCCCTCTGCTGGTGAACGTAGAACTGTGCAGTTAACAGTCAATCACTTCACAGCTACCTGTATGCGCATGAGATTACACAAACATGTACAATGTGTAAAAAACATTATGCAAAGAATCAAAAATCAAGTGTGAAAAATGGAGGAAAATGCCGCCACATGGCAGGTAAATTAGAAAAGCTTTAACCAAACAAGCAGGCTGTAATCACTTAAAAATGGATGTTTTCTTTACTTGATTGCAGGTAAACAAGAAGTAAAATGTAACAGTTTAACCTTAGTAATCACAAACAGATGTTTCCGGTACTCTGCAGTCAGAAAATAACAGCGTTTTAAGAATGAAAAGAACACTTGTTGTCCAGGCGAATTAGAAGATCACGTATGCTCAGTGATACTTCTATATCTGTCCTGTAAAGCACAGCAGATCAGTATATACAAATATAAAACACTTTATGGAGACATTTACTGGAGTGACATTCCATTGTATGAACACTGGTTAACATGAAAAATGTCTGCTAACTGTCAGTTTTATTGACAAATATATATGGATTATGTTCACATTTTTATTCATGATAATAATTATAAATCAAAGCTTCAAACTATCTGACCAGTGTAAAAAACAAAACTCAAAAGTGAAGGAAACCCTAGATAAATTAGATTTTGATGAAAAAAAAGGAATGATAATCAAAAATAATTTTTGAAGTTATCAAAATACATAGACTGTATATATTATACTTAGGTATACCTATGTAAATAATCTTTTCAAAACATTAGGGCCATTACAACCACATATATCTCAATGTAAAAAATACATCCATTAAACAAATTTGAAGAATAATTAAGTGTAGCAGCCATCACTGGTTATACTGATTTTTAGGGATTTTTTGAACAGTCTGTGGACTCATTTATAAAAAATACTTTTCAAATCAAAGCTTTCTAAACTGTTTGAATCTGCTACTTTTCTGTATTGTCTGTTTGTGAAATCAAATCTGATAACTAATAACTTAAATTATACAGTTTATACATTTTGGAAACGGTTCAATTGAGGCAAAGAAATTTGTATAGAATAGCCCTGTCTTCCACAACAATTTATCTGACACTACAGTAAGAAGTGAAATAGTCATCTGCATGAAAAAAAAAATAATTCTTTATAAGAGAATCACATTTCTTTGTCGGTGTCTGATGTGTGTACAACAGAATCGAGATAAACCCTTTATAGAACCCAAATAAAACATAGAAAAGACTAGAAATGAAACTAAATAGAAACAGTACCATAAGAATTAGCAAAACTAGAAATCAGAGTTTTGTCATTGGTATGTGTAAGTTGTTCCAGGGACCCATCCAGAGCTCCTCTTCATCAGACAGTGTTTGCTCACATGGAGACTCTTCCGACTCTTTAATCTCCCCATTGTCCACTGAGGACTCCAGCTCACAGCACCCCTTATCCTGCTCCAAACGGGCTTTATCGATGTTGGATTTGGGCCCTATGCTGCCCATTACACTGCACTCTTTGGAGTTAAGGTTGGGATCAGTAACATAGGAATTGGCAGTGGTGGTGCTGATAGTAGGCCCATTGTCTTCTGTTCCATTTGAAGGTAAATGCTCTTCGTGTGTGACACCTAGCTTGTCCAGTTTTTTGAATTGTTTGCCTAACTGTGTTGGTGAGCCCAGTTTTAAGTTGTTGGGGTAAGGGGGCCTTCGTGTTCGGATGATGGTACCATTTTGGGCAAGGTATACTGATCCGTTGATGTTACTGTGGCTGCTGATGTTGGGTATGCGATTGCGTTGGACGTCCGGTCCACTGTCTTCTCCTGTTGAAGTCGTGTCATGCTCTCGGTCCAACACTAGTTTGATTCGCTTCTTTTTGCCAGCCTGGAGATCAGAGAGAAGAATTATTAACATAAATCAGCTATCAAAGAAAAACCCTCCATTAAGTGGGAATAGTAGAGACCAGGGGCCATATTCACAAACAATTTTAGTCCTAGCGTTGAGTTTCTTAACATTTATTAGCCTTAAGATTTTTTTGTGAATATGACCCCAGCCGTGTGAAATTGCAATCATAATCAAACTGAAGGTTGCGTGCACCCCTAGTAGAGAAGCAAACTGATGGCTGCACATGTGGTGTCAATATTATATTAAAGCACTCACAGTAGGGATACTGTTTTTGGAAACAGAAACATGAGATTAATACAAATAAATGTTTTGAAGACACAGTTTTGGGGCTGGTAATGTAGGTTCACTCAAGAGAAGAAATTTGAGAAGCACACCAGAAAAAAAAAAAAAAGTACGGCATGCCATTTTTTTAGCACTTCCATGCAGTTGGATTTGTTCCAAAACACACCAGTATAAGAGAAAAGACAGGTATCAAGTGGGAATCACTTCACTCCATGGCAGAAGTCAGTTAGGTCTTACTTGGTCCCTGTTTAGAAAGCTGTGGAATCTCCTGAGACAGAATCTGCATCTGTTACTTCTGTGGTACCTTCGGTTCCCGACTGCTGTGAGCGACGCCTAGAGCCGCTCTCAGATCCTGAGCCACTGCCAGAGGTTATGGCATCCTCATCCACCTCTGTGATTGGCGAGAGGCCTCCAAACGTCTCATCTGAACTCTGAACGCTGCCCTCTGTGGCGTATGGTGTGTCTCCACTTTCTGCTGCTGAGATCACACTTGACCTCCGTGATATTGATCCCTCACTCATCTCACTAGCTGACTCTCTGCTCTCTGCTGTTTCATCCTCCTCCTCGTCCTCTTCTTCTTCAGACGCCTCTTCTTCCTCCTCACTTTCCTCATCAATGGTGTCCTGGGAGGATCGGGTAATGATGCTCTTGCGAGAGCGGCGGCTTCCTCCTGCTGATCTGGAGCTTGTGGAGCTTCTCTCACTGCCGGACACGGAAACGGCATCTGATTCAGTGTCATCTGATGCAGCAGATCCGCTCATTTCCATCCCGGATGATGCAGCAGATCCACTCATTTCTGTCCCGGATGCCTCTTCAGAGCCACTCGCTGACCCTATCTCACCACTGCTTTCCTCACCAGACACTGATGCTTGTGATGACCTTACTGAAGACCGGGCTGAAGACCCCTTAGAGCTGCCACCTGATACGCTGCCACTCGGGGTACCACTTGCACTTCCAGAAACACTCCCACTTCTGCTGCTCCGTGTTCCTACACTCGAACGCTCCGAGGAACCCTCAGTACGGGATGATTTCTTTGAAGAGCGAGTAGAAGATGGCTCTGATCCTGATCCTGACTCTTCCGTCCCTTTAGACTCTTCATCTTCTTCAGATTCTTCCTCGGACTCCTTTTCTGTGGCAGAACTCTTCTCAGCACTGGACTCTTCCTCAGTTCCTGATTTTTCAGTCCCAGATCCAGACGCTGTTTCTGTTCCTGAGGTCTTTCCAGACCCTGACTCTTCCTGCGAGCCAGATTCCTCCTCTGAACCTGACCCTTTCTCGGTTTCGGATTCTTTCTCAGATGCTGACTCTGCCTCGGAATCCTTTTCGGTTCCTGACTTCTCAGTCTCAGATTTGGATTTACTCTCTGCATCAGATTCGTCTGGTTCTTCTGGCTCTGATTCAGAATCAACTGTGCTCTCATTGGCATCATCTCTATCCAGATCCACTTTCAAATAATCCTTATCGTCAGTGGAGCCTGCTACACTGCTCCTCTCAGATGATTCCTCCTCATCCGAGGCTTTCTTTCGGCTCTCTGCCTCTGATCCACTCCCGCTGGCCTCTGGCTCACTGACACTGATGGACACTTTTGATTTCTTCTCTTCTCTCTCTGACTCGGCTGCAGACTCGTCCTTCTCACTTGCAGAACTATGACTGATGGTGCTCTGTGATTTTCTTCTAAGTTGCAGCTTGTTTGCCAGATTAATGCGTTTCAGGACTTTCCCAAGTCGACTCCTGGCAGAGGATGTGCCATCAATGGAAGCGACTGGGCTTGCGCCACCTGCCAAGCTCTCTTGACTATCAATACGACGTGCAGATGTCAGCTTGGCATAATCTTTGTCTTTCTTCCCTTTCCCAAACATCATCGGGAAGATCTTTGCCTTCTTCCATGGGGAGCTAGCTTCAGTTTTCTTCCCAGCAGCAAGAAACTTGCTGAGCTTCATGACGGACTTCACCCTCTTTGCAGCTTTGGATTCTTCAGCTTCAGCCTCTGCTGGCTCCTCAGCAGGAACCTCTGGCTCTGCCTGTTCAATCTCATCCTCTGGTGGGAAATCCTGGAATCCCACATGCTTTCCACGCCCACGGCCTCTCCCTCGCCCACCTCGCCCTCTTGCCCGACCCTGTTGTGACATTATTTCCTTTAAAACAATCTTATTAATCACAGGTTACTAAAATGAAATGGTCAAACCTGATATTAAATGATGCATGAAACAAAAATAACTTTCTATTGGTGAGGCCAAGATTATGAACAAAAAGAAAACATAACTGCACCATTTCCTTCAAGCAGCCAGTGAATGACTGTGTAGGGTTACCTCTGGTCCACCATAGTAATATCCTTCATCTTCCATGATGGCCTCTCCAGACTCATCATACATGGGTGTAATCAGCCTCCTGCGGCTGCCGTAGGCTGGATAGGGATCATACCTGGAGGTAGGAATGGAAATACTACAACATGTGAACATACCTTAAAAGTTATTGTGTGGAGAACTATATTAAAGTTGCTGTAAGAGATTTCAATTTTGCTAATTTCCAGTAAATGGATTTAGCCCATCCCTTCAATCATAAGCATTCTCTCCAAAATCCCACCCTCCTAAAACAAACATGAACATCAGCAAACAAAAACATGATTTCTAGCTGGCTGAAAGTGCTGGACAAAATTTTCTATTAACTTCTTTTAAAGCTAGGTTTTGTCAACATTTAAAAGTTTGTCTTGACAAATATTGCTTTTCCATTTTATTTTTAAATGAAGCCAACATTCAAATTTGAATAGCAATTCTACATTCTTTGTGATACCTCAATTCAATTCAAATGCACCTGGAGTTCTGAGTATTTTGGGGGCAAGACCTCCAACAGGTTTGAAAATAGGTGTGTTTACTGAAGACGGGAAAGCCAAAACAGATGCCTCATTACACTTGCAATCAACATCAGCCCATGTGTAGCTCCACCCACGCAGGACAAACAGCCCCTGTGATCCAGGGATTAAAGGCTAAACCCCCATTTAAAGATTCCTAAGCTCTCTAAATAGCCTGGATCTTCAGCAGGCCAGGTCTCTCTGATAGCAGGTGCACTTCAGCCTGACAGAAGTGCAACATTTATCTTCCCCACTCTAGAGGTCTGCATTCCCGCGGCTCTCCGGCGGGAACCGCGGGACCCGACTGGATTTTTTGCGCCGCGGGAATAAATTCCCGAATAAAACGCGGTAGCAGTCGGTAACTCTGGTGTAATTTGAACGGGAGCGGGCGGTCTAACAATATCCCGTTCCCGACGTTCATTTAGAACAGCATATCTGCGCTTTATTCTTATTGATCACCGGTAGAGCTTGCGCTCAGGACTGTTATGCACGCATGCTTTAAACGTCACACGTTTTATTTGCGGGGTCTGTGTGCAGCATGTGCATAACGATGCTCAGAGCAGGCTGTACCGGTGGTAAATATACGGCCCTCAGACAGAACAGGCAGGTTGTCGATGAGTGACAGAGCACGAATAAAATAACATACAATTTTGCGCAGACTACACTTTTATTTGTCAGCCTATCTCTCCTTTCAGTAGCGGAAATTTAAATGTGAGATTCTGGAAACGAGATCTAAATTTAGCGTGAACTGTCTGGTCTGGAAGAAAATTATTCTAAGCGGACAGCGGGTGAACAAAGAGTGAATATATAGTGGGAGCAGGTGGGTGCGGAATAGAACCTTGCGGTAGCGGGACTAAAAAAATAGTCCCGCGCAGACCTCTAATGCACAGAATAGAACCTTGCAGGAGCGGGACTAAAAAAACAGTCCCACGCAGACCTCTACCCCACTCTCTCCCTTGATGTCTATGGAATCAATGCCATCCTTCTTTCTCAAAGGCCTTGACTATGGACAAAGAAACCTTGACATTCAAAAGAATCAGTTAAAAGTTTGAGGGAATTCTCAAGAAAATAATTCTCTTTTCAGCATAAAATTGATATTATAAATATTATTGACAATTTAATCAATCTATGGAGCAAATCCTTTAATATCATCCTTCTAAAAGATACATTCCCTGAGATGTAAACTTACATAGTGCTAAGATTAATAGCTAGATGAACAGGTGTTTTGCATCATATCTTGTTTTATGTTATGTAATTTAGCACGACTGGAATTCTGGATTGACTGATGTGCATCCATTTTAAAATGTTAAATAAGACCTTAAGAAGTCTATCATCAGAGATCTTGATGTTAAAGCACATCATCTGTTCTGTGGTGCTCACAGCTGACGTTCAGAGCACTACGGAGACCTTTAAGACCATCTGCTGCTCCTCTTGCTACAAAAATTGAATGACTATCGAACATAATAGAGGATGCCATTAGTATGATCTCTGAAAGTCCTACTAGCAAACATGCGGTTCACGCCTAAATTAATCCACTGAGTTTAGCTAAAGATGGCTGAGTGGAGGTGAGGGCACATTAATCTCATCAAAGCTTCCAGCATCTCCTCAGATGGGCTGACGTTAAACCATGCAGTTCAACATTTGCAAGAGCATCTGTCCCGATAGTAAAGCTGTTCCGATGGTACATTACGTGTCAATTTGAGAGTGCTTACACCTCTTTCTCTCGCTTCTGCTGTCTCCTTCTGTTTGCACACACAAGTGCTCAATTAGTGTATTGTACTCACTATAGGCATAATTTTTTTTGGGGGGGGGGAGGGGGCTCAGGTGTCTTGGTATCATCAAATTGACTGGGAAAATTGGAATGGATAAAGTAGAGAAATTCTGAAGAAGTGATCAAGGATAAGATGATTGAAATTCAAAGGGCATGGGAGACAGAAAAAGAGATCTAAGGGGGCATATTAAATAACATGCTTCACCTTCAAGAGAGGATGTTTGTGTAAAAAATACACAAACACAGTCTGAAACAAAGACACACTAGCCTTGTATATACTCTGAAACTCACCCTTGATCGTAACTATAGTAGTCTTGGGTATAGTAATCCTGTCCAGGGTCGATACCCGATTCCATGGAGAGAGCCTAAAATACAAACGTAAAGACAGATGTCAGACTTCATCTTCACACAGGCTACTAAAATTAGTCAGGGTTTGGTGCACAACTGATACAGTCAATAACATTTCTGGCACACTGTGTGCTTGTTCACCATTTACTGTAACTTAATTTCAACTGGGAATGCAAATGAACATCTGGACTACCGTTCAAAAGTTTGTGGTTGGTAAGTTTTTTTGTTTTATTTTGTAGAGGTCTCTTATGCTCACCAAAGCTGATCATTTATTTGATTAAAATTTACAATTAAACAGTAATATTGTAAAATACACTTACAATTTAAAAATTACTGTTATATATTTAAAAATGTAATTTTTTTACTCCAGTATTCAGTGTCACATAATCCTTTAGAAATCATTCTAATATGCTGATTTGATGCTCAAGAAACATTATTATTATTGTTGTTGTTATTATTATCAATGTTGGAAATTATGTTTTTGTTGTGCTGTTTAACATTTTTGTGGAAACCATGATAGATTCTTTGATTAATATAAAGTTCAAAAGAACAAAGTTACAGTATCATATGGATTCATAAAACATTTAGAACCTTCCCCAGTCCTCATTCACTTTCATTGTATGAATAACAGCTGCTTAGACATGCTGCTTTTTACTGTATGTTCTGCAGAAAGTTTGAACGAAGGAATGGACATGAGTGTGAATAAATGATGAAAGGTTTTTGGGTGAACTGTCCCTTTAGAATTATTATTTAGTGATTAAAGCCCCCCATGAATTTGCCATACGAGTGCAGTTTTGTCTCCTTTGACGTATATCCCATTGAACCAGATTTTGTGTGACCTTAAAGCTAACATACATCAACTTAAAACTTCAATGTTTGTCATGGGATCTTTAAAAAGAGATATAAAAAATATTTAGTAACATTAGGAAGATTTGTCAAGACCCAAGAAGGAAAACTAAGGAAAGGCATGTAGAAAAAACAGATGCTACCTCAGGCCGGAGCAAAGAGGGTCTCAACAGCTGCTGCTGCTGCTGGCAGAGTCACAAAGAGAAGAGAGGGAGAGGAGAAAAAAAGATTTGACACTAAGAGAGAATACAGCGTAAGAGAGGCAGCACAGAATAAAAGGCAAAGACAAAGAGAATAGCAAGAAAAGATGTTGCTGCATACCTTTAAAACGAATGATCAGACAGAGTACATGACAGCAAAAAGATGTGCATTAAAACAGGAAAGGGGGAGAAAAATTATCTCCTGGTTAGGAAGATAATGACAGAGATGCAGATGAAGGAAAATGTTCCATCTAAAGAAGTAGACCCAACTTTAAGAGCTAAAGTGCTTGAAAGGTCAGAAAAGGTTGTGTTTGACAGCATGCATATGCAAACTATATGCATTAACTTTGCAACTTGGACACTGAAGTGACTGCAAAATTATGTGTGCAGGCTGAACTGAGTAAAGACACAACTCTTCAATTTACACTCCTTAGTGGACTGCAAATGTAAGTTTAATGGCAAAGTTTCTATTGCTCCCTTCATCTCATTGAGATTCCAGTGTAAGCCTCTCACAAGGCATCCAGTGTAAGCCTCTCACTATTGGCAGTCTGAAGTGACAAGGGAACAAGGTAGTCTTACCTTCGACTTATTAAAGGCCTATATATTAAAGGGATAGTTTCACCCAAAAATGAAAATTCTGTCGTTAATTACTCACCCTCATTTCGTTCCACACCTGTAAGTCCATCGTTCATTTTCGGAACACAAATTAAGATTAAATTTTTGATTACATCCGAGAGCATTTTAATGTGGTAGTTCTGTTGCTCCCATTTAATCAAAAATATCTTCATTTGTGTTCCGAACACGAACAAAGGACTTACAGTACAGGCGTGGAACGACATGAGGGTGAGTAATTAACGACAGAATTTTCATTTTTGGGTGAACTATCCCTTTAAACCAACTACATAGAACTGGATTTTTAGTACCATCCAGTTCTAAAAGTCACCATCATGATGCCATAAGGTATTACTCATATCCATGCAGTTTTACAGTTAGTGTATGAGTGACAGAAATAGTGATCAGATCAAAGGAAATGTAAAAAAAAAAAAAGACTCACCTCTCTGCCAAAGCCACGCCTGCTGAAAGAGACATAAAAAATGATTGTAAAGAACGACATGTAGCTGGAAATGTGACATCTGTTGACTAGCTAAATGATTTTAGACTTGTTCTTGTAGAGTCTGGCTCACTTTCATCATACAGAAAGCATTTCAACACTTCCTGTCATCTCTTATCATGGGACCAGAATGAAAACACCATATTTAAATGCGAAAGCACTTGAAAGATAAAAACGCACTCAGGGAAATGACGCAGCTAGTACTGACACAAGCAGTTTTACCTACAATGAAGAATTCAAAAGCATGTTAATCTGCTTTTTCCAAATAAGTCATTTTCTGATGAATGGAAAACCAACATATGCACACATACTCACACTCATACACAACCTATATTTAATGCAGTAGCTATAAATTGTCCAATCATACACTAACAGAATTTCAAGGAAAGTTACATTTGAGAGGTCTCTCAAGGGCCAAGAGTGAAATCCACTTAGTGATTAAAGCACTGAGACAAATGAGTAACATGTTCCAAGTGTCTGTGTGCGTACCTGGTATTCTCTACATTATGGGAACCAAATATCCCCACAAGTATAGTAATAACAGTAATTTTTTTTTTGGGGGGGGGGGG